ACCCACAAAGGCCCTTCCAGTCCAACTCCTGGCCCTGCACAGACACCCCAACAACCCCACCTGAGAGCATTGTCCAAAGCCTCCTTCAGCTCTGGTGGGATTGCTGCAGTGACCCCTTCCTTGGCTGCATGCTGACATTTTGCCTTTTCCCCACACAGCGATGCCCCTCAGGCTGGAGCAGTGGCTGTGCCCTCCTGAGCCATTCCTGCAGCCGTTCCTGCAGCCATCCCTGCAGCCATTCCTGCAGCAGCTCCATGCCCTGCTCCAGGACAAGGTGCCAGCTGTGGATGAGCTGTGCTGGCACCAGGGCATGCCCAGGGGTGTCAGAGGCACCCAGAGCAGGGCAGGGGGAGCTGAGGCACAGACACCTGGGCTGGGTCACGGGAATTGCTCCTTCCATGGCATCCACACATCCAAAGCCAAAGCAGCACTGCTGTGCTCTGCCTTGGCACCTTTAAAATCATTTTGCAGTGCAGTTGATCCCTCTTAGTTTGGGTTTTTCACTTTTGCTTCACTGTCACAATCCTGGTGTGGGGAAGAAGAGCAAACAGAGGGAAGGTGGTACATTCACCTCCCAAAACCACCCCTGCAACACCCCAACACCAAAAACACAACATAAACTTGTTAAAAATTACAAATAAATCCCCTGTGATTATATTCTTGGTGTATTTTAACAATATTCCTTTGAATACTGGGATTTATTTTCTGTCCCTCCCAGGCCAAGACTTATTAACAAGAGCTTTAATGTTTTATGCCCCCTCAACCCCTAAATCATGAGTGTAACTTCCAAACCAACAGGAAGGCAAAGCTTTTCCTAGAAGTTTTTATTCCAGGAGGGCTCAGCCAAGGCTCAGAGAGCACAGTTCAATACAGGCTCTTCCCAGCTCCAGAAACAGGAGCAGGAACAGGAGCTGAGGAGCTTGGGGAGCTCTTTAAGGAACTCTCCAAGGTGTGCAAGTTTCTGGAGGCTGCTCAAAGCCTCTGGGATGACCCCAGCCTTGCCTGCAGTTGCTGGAAGGCAGATTTTTGTCTAAAAAGAGCCAAAT